GCTTGCACTGGACACATGTATGCAGTCCCAGTGGCTGTGGCCTGCACAGGACACACGTATGTAGTCACAGTGACTGTGGCCTGCACAGGACACACGTATGCAGTCACAGTGTCTGTGGCCTGCACAGGACACATGTATGCAGTCACAGTGACTGTGGCCTGCACAGGTTTTATGTATGCAGTCACAGTGACTGTGGCCTGCACACGACACGTGTATGCAGTCACAGTGACTGTGGCCTGCACAGGACACATGTATGCAGTCACAGTGTCTGTGTCCTGCACAGGACACTTGTATGGAGTCACAGTGACTGTGGTCTGCACAGGACACACGTATGCAGTCACAGTGACTGTGGGCTAAACAGGACACACGTATGCATTCACAGTGACTCTGGCCTGCACAGGACACATGTTTGCAGTCACAGTCGCTGTGGCCTGCACAGGACACACGTATGCAGTCACCGTGATTGTGGCCTGCACAGGTTTCATGTATGCAGTCACAGTGACTGTGGCCTGCACAGATTTCTTGTGTGCAGTCACAGTGACTGTGGCCTGCACAGGACACATGTATGCAGTCACAGTGACCGTGGCCTGCACGGGACAAATGTAAGCAGTCACAGAGACTGTGGCCTGCACAGGACACATGTATGCAGTCCCTGTGGCTGTGGCCTGCACAGGACACACGTATGCAGTCACAGTGACTGTGGCCTGCACGGGACAAATGTATGCAGTCACAGAGTCTGTGGCCTGCACAGGACACATGTATGCATTCTCAGTGGCTTTTGCCTGCACAGGACACACGTATGCAGTCACAGTGACTGTGGCCTGCACAGGACACACGTATGCAGTCACAGTGACTGTTGCCTGCACAGGACACACGTATGCAGTCACAGTGACTCTGAGCTGCACAGGACACATGTATGCAGTCATAGTGACTGTGGCCTGCACAGGACACACGTAAGCAGTCACAGTGACTGTGGCCTGCACAGGACACACGTATGCAGTCACGGTGGCTGTGGGCTGTACAGGACACACGTATGCAGTCACAGTGGCGACACACGTATGCAGTCATAGTTGCTGTGGCCTACACAGGATACACGTATGCAGTCAAATTGTCTGTGGGCTGCACCGGACGCATGTATGCAGTCACAGTGATTGTGGCCTGCAAAGGTTTCAATCATGCAGTCACAGTGACTGTGGCCTGCACAGTTTTAAGCCACACTGGGGTCCCAGCAGTGAGAGGGGGAAATTGACATGGGGTTCCCACCCCTAACCAGGAAGACATTTGAGATCCATACCCACTGTCAAAGGAAAATCAATTTTCGCCAATGTCGTCTCACTGGATAAGTCAACCACAATCTATGGCATGCCCATGCATGGGGAAATTCCCCAACACAAAACAAACTCAGTGCTATTTTTTTATGGGTATTTTGTCTTATTTTGCTTTGTTTGGACTTTTTTTTTTGTCTTATTGGTCTTGTGCTTGTGTGTTTTGATTTTTTAAAATATTTTTAAAATTAATTAATTTGTGTTTTGCCATGGGTGATGGGTCCCCTGGAACTGGAGTTACAGGCAGTTGTGAGCTGCCATGTGCTAAGAACTGAACCCCGGACCTCTGAAAGAGCACAGCTCTTAACTGCTGAGCCATCCCTCCAGTTCTAAAGGAATATTTGGTCCAGGAAGGATTTTTATTCTTTTTTTTTAAGATTTACCTGTTTATTTTATGTATATGAGTGTTCTATTTGCACATATGCCTTTATCCCATTCTAGATGGTTGTGAGACCCCATGTGGTTGCTGGCAACTGAACTCAGGACCTCTGGAAGAGCAGTCAGTGCTCTTAACCACTGAGTCATCTCTCCAGACCTAGTTTTGATTTTTTTTTTTTTTTGAAGAACATAAAGTTGGCTGAGTAGGATTTGAGAGGAATTGGGAGAGGGGAAAACATGATTGAAATTTTTTTCCAATAAAAATTAGACAGGTTTTACAAACCTGTGTCCTTTTGTGTTCAGTAAATAACAGGACTTTAAAGGTCACCAAGGAGTGCTGGGGAGATCAATCCCAAGCACATGCAAAGTCAGTAGGAAAACAAGTTACCATTGCTGAAAGATCTGAACACACTCAGTTTAGGAATAAAGACGGCAGGGTGAGAAAATATGAAAATATGCTAAGTCCCAGCCTACAGGTTGGAGCATGCTCAGATACTACATGCCAATTAGAATGGCTAATATAAAAACAAACACCCAAAGGGCTGACGATGTAAGTGCTAAGGATGTGGAGCAACCCAGCCTATCACCACTGCTGATGGGAATGCCAAATCCTGTAGACACTTTAGAAAACAGAATGAGGTTTCTTATAAAGTATAATATAATTAGCACATGACTTCACCATCTCACTCCTAATGCTTACCCAAGAGAAATGAAATCCCATTCCATGTCCACAATAGTCTCCAACAGAAAAAAACTTTACATGTCAGTGAGTAAAACTCTATAACAGTCTAACTGTATAAAAGCTTGTTTTATCAGTGAAGAGGAGTGGACTAGGATGTGCCCAACAACTCGGATGGACCCACGGACGGCAGTGGCACTTCTCTGGAAGCAGTCCAACTCGAAGGGCTTCCAACTCTCCCAATCATAGAAGAATGCAGGAACAGAAAACAGAGGGCTGTGGCATGGGGTGGCGATGGGAGGAGGATCTCCTCACTCAAGGGGTGCAGGGTGCTACAACCGTCCTCTGTCTTGTTTGTGATAGTGCTCAGCACACTGCTACATTGTGTCAGAACTCAGAAAACTGTAACCGAAAAGGCTGAGCTTCCTCTTTATTTAAGAAACTCTATAGGGAGTTGATGCTAAAAATGTTTATTTGTCTACAGATGTAGTAAATAAAAGGCTAAAATATAAATTCTCACAACTTCTTAGCTATTGAAATAGATCACCAAAATCAGTAAAAAGATAAAATAAAATAAATAAAGCTGTGTCGCTCCTCTGCCCTAAAAGGTGGCCTTAAGAGCCTCAGCATGAGAATGTGGGTTCTCTTGGGAATTTAGTGCTCACAGAGCCTTCACATTCTGCCTCCTTGCTCTTGAGCTTTAGTACAGTGACAGCTTTGTGTGTGGGGTTTTGTGTGTGTGAGTGTGTGTACGTGTGTGTGTGTGTGTGTGTGTGTGTGTGTGTGTGTTTAACAGGAGGCCTTGGGTGCCATTCTTCAGGGGCTATCTACCTTTTTGAGGCCAGATCTTTCATTTGAAGTCTGAACTTACCAGGCAGACTATGCTAGCTGACCAATGGTCGAGGGTTTGGCCAGTCTTTGCCTCCCCAGCTGTATGACTACAAGAGCCCACCCCTGGCTTTATTCTACCTGGGTTCTGGGGATGGAACTCATGCATGCAAGGTAAACATTTTATCCAAATTCCCGAGCCACACTGAAAGTTTTTACTGGACTCCAATCCCCTCTGTCCCAGTTTCAGAAATGGCTAGGTGTCTGTGGTGGGTGGCAGAGCTCGTCCCAGATATGTGGTCTGACTCAGGAAGAAAGAATGAAGTATGACATGACTTCTGAGTCTAGGAGCAGACAGGCATCCGAGGGACAGCGAGAGAAAGTGCTGTGAGAATTTGGGTTAGATGGGGGTGCACTTCACCTGGGGTTCTCCCCACAATTGCTGTACTGCTGTCTTCTCCCAACACAGACAGAAAGCCAGGCACCTGCATAGATGAGCCTTCAGTGAGGTCGACTGGAAATGCCGGTGTGTGTTCCCTCACATAGACAAAGGGTTGTGTCACCAGCTCTTTGGCCAGAATGAAGCTACAAGTTACAGGATAGGTGATTTTACCTTCTTGCTATAGATAATCTTGTTGAAGCTTCTTAAATTTTTATTTTTTTTACCTTGAGAAGTATTTCTGACTGTTAAATTTACTAAGGGGAATTGAAGGGTACTATTGGCCAAGAACAACCCCAAATAGCTGTAGGAAGGAGAAAGAGAGACATAGCCAAGCTCAGCGAAGCCATAGGCAGGCATGGTGGAGGATGTCAGTAGACACTGAGGTCATGCATGTGACCCTGTCACCTTAGGGATCTGGAAAAGCAGTTACGTGGTGTGGCTTCTATATGTCTGTTATCAAGGATTCCAGAATTTGCTGAGCTCAGCTTCCCTGACACCAGCGAGACTCTTGCTGGGCCTGCCCCTGGACACTCCATCCACCCAGTGTCAAGTTCCCCCTCTTTTCTGGTAAGACACTAGTAGTGGGAGGTAGCCTGCTCATCATCACTGCCCTAGGGCTCAGGAAGTCCACAGACAGCCTTCCCGCAGCCCCCTTTGACCGTCTGTCCTCCTTAGGTCCTGGCTCTCCAGCTCTTTGGATCTTTCTCTGGTCACTCAGTGCCCAAGCATTCAAAGCTTCCTATATAAAGCAGTTCTTCATCCCCAACTGCAAAGCAAGTTAAACACCTCGTGTGCAGTGTTCCCCATAGCCTCAGTCAGTGGACAGTGGAGTGGAGGACGCATGCCATCAGACCATCAAAGAAAAAACATTTCAACATCACAATTCTTCCACTGAAAACAGACCTCTGCCCAAGTTTACCCCTTTGCCAAGCATGTCACGAAGAGCTGGTTTAAAACTGGGGAGACAGTTGGTACATACGAGATAACCTGAGTTCTCTCTTTAAGACCCCTGCAAAAAGCCAGACGTAGGAAGTACTTGGGCTTGTAAGCTTAGTGCCGTAGAATGGCTCTGTGGGGCTTGCTGACTCACTGGCCAGCCAGGCTGAAACAGCTAGTTCCACGTCGGTGAGAAACCCTGTCTCAAGTCATAGGACAGCATCCTAAGGAACAACACCAGACCACAATGGCCTTGAACTCAGAGATCTGCCTGCTTCTGCCTCCCTAGTGTTGGGACTGAAGGAGTGTCCCAACGCACCTGGCTGAATCATAATTTCTGTAATGAGCTTTGTTTTAGCAAGACATGAAAAATTATCTTTTATGGACAAATAAAGGTTTAATAGTCTCTCTACCATGCCATTGAAACATTTTTTCATTATATTGTTTATACCTGTCACAAACATTTGACTACACACATACGTATATCTGTCTTCATCATGTTTTTCCTGTCATTCAATTGGCTTTGAACCAATATAGCAACATTAGCAGGGATCACTGTGGGGAACTGTATCCACCCGTCCCCCCCCCCCCATGCCACAAAATAGATTCTTAATGCCCTTAGTACTTTGATTTTAGGAGTTCAAGGTACTTTAACTTCACTGAAGCATCCTGTTGATATCTCTGGGTAGGAAAATGATGTTAAGTTATCATTATTGGCTTTGTATGGGGAAGAATGGAAGTCCAGAGAAACCCTGAGTCACAGTGCATGTGGGTGCTTAGCTCTGCACCCCACTTTGTGGAGTTTATTTACTACATTCCACACTAAAAGGTATGATTGTTTTGTTGAATTGAGTCGCATCTCTCTTCCGAAGGAGATCACTGCACATCCCAGTCCTGCACTTATTTCCCGCAGCTCTGTATGTCCGAGAAAGAGCCCATGAGTTACAGAGCCATTCTCTGCTTCGGCATTCAAAACACAACCAACTGCTGTGACCCCAGGGCAACTGCAGTCAGAGGGAAGACACCGGCCATGGATGGGCCTTCTGTTCAGCTGGGTATCCGTGGCTGTACGGTGGCCCTTATTAACAGGCCCATAACCTCTCAGATTACAAAGCTGCATGCAATTTGCTTAAGTGCTTGCTTTAGCCCTTCTGGAGTATCTGAGAACCGGCTCTCGTGGTAAACCCACCCCAGTGGCCAATTTCAGTCTTAACTGCTTCGTTGCAAAAGGGCCACGCCAAAAGAAAATCACTGTAGGATGATTAATTTTCTTACAGTCACGTCATGGAAATTTGAATTTATTTTGTGTGTGTATATACACATGTGTGCAGTTGCCTGTGGAGGCTTGGAGCTGGAGTTACAGTAGCTGTGGGCTGCCCAGGAGGGTTGGGTACTGAATTCAGGCTCTCAGTCTTCTTAACGGCAAACCAACTCTCTAGATCTCCTGGTCTGTAATTTAAATGCACAAGCGACACACACACACACACACACACACACACACACACACAGAGAGGACTGTTTTTTACTTCCATAAAACTTAATTACTCATGCACAAATACTGTGGAAGAAAAGACCTGCTGTCTGAATATATTTCTGACATTCTTCTGTAGAAAGAGACTACGCACATCAGCATGGCAACTTTATTCTTTCTTTCTTTTCTTCTTCTTTTTTTTTGGGGGGGGGTGCTTTCTTTCTCCCAGAGACAGGGTTTTTCAGTAGCTTTGGTGTCTATCCTGGAACTAGCTCTTGTAGACCAGGCTGGCCTCGAAGTCACAGAGATCCACCTGCCTCTGCTTCCCGAGTGCTGGGACCCACTGCCCAGCAACATTCTTTCTTGAATTTCCCTGGCACCTTCTTTTTTTTTCTTTGGTCCCATGTTCTATTCACCTTTTCCACCTTTTCTAGACAGCACTTTAATCATTTAAAATTAAGAATGCCAAACCACAAAGGCTAGGATTTTTTTTTTTTTTGAGATTTAGTGGCCAAGTACCTGTCACTGTGGCAAAAGAAAACAAAACAAAAACCAAACAAAACAAAACAGGTACAAAACAAGGCCACCTACCCTGAACTTAGTTCTCAAGGATCTAGTTATACAATCTGACAACCTTGCTTGTTGTTGTTGAGGAGCAGGGTCTCCCTTCTTTTGAGAAAAAACGGAGACACAGAATATTTCCAGAAAATAAAAGTCCCTCTACTCATTTCTTGCACTTCAGTCCCCAGCTTTACACATCTGGCCTATTCCCAAAGTGCTTCGAGGACGCGGGCAGGAGTCCTCGCCAGACCACTGGAGGACGGAGTGCAAAATAGTGTAAAGGAGACAGCACCTTCAGAATTGTCAAAAATAAAATACAAAACAAAACAAAAACCCTTAAATAGTCGAGACAGAAAGAAGAGACAGCATCAAGAAGCACACTACAAAAGCAAGTGAAATATAAATACTAGGGTGGGGTACAGACCTCAATAAGGCAGGACACCAACGTTGCCAAAAAAAAAAAAAAAAAAAAGGCCAATCTGAATGACACCAAATGGGAGAGGCACGGGAAGTGAGGGGCTTCGCCACCACACCAGCAGCCTGCCCCTGCGAGGAGGTGCACGGTGAACAGCCAGGACACATCTGTTTAGTGAAAGCCCTGGTGCTCTGCGCCCAGGGCAGGCAGGCAGGCAGGGGTCATTCTGCACATTGTCCGGAGCCCAGGGTACGGCCTGAGCCCTGCGCCGCGCCCTGCTCCTGCACTGGCCGCGATGTCCCGTCCTTGATCTCGCACGTGCCCTGTTCCTGGAGCCCGGCCCCGGTGGCACACGCGTCGGGGAAGCGTGGAGCCGTGCCCGCGAAGGAGTCTCTGCGCGCCAGCGTCTCCTCCTGCACCGGGCGGCCCACGGGATCCGGCTCTGTCTCAGGTTCCGTAGGGCATGGGCCCTCCTGCGAGGTCTGGCTGACGTACACCACGATGATGTCGCCCTTGAAGTTCATCACCTGCCCGCTAGAGATGAACGTGGAATTGCTGTTTCCTGTCACGTTCCCTGCAAGGGACAGAGTATAGAGAAGGTGCATCAGGGACTACAGGGTGTCATTTGGAGCCACAGCAGGTGTTCCCTTGGAAAGTTTGGGCCACCTTAGAGGGCCCCCTGTGAAGCAGACGGGGGAGGGGAAGAAATGAGTGAAAAGAAGGGAAAGGGCATAAGCCTGTGGGCCATTCTTGTGTTTCATCGTCTCATACCTCGCAGGGATCACACACAACTCCAGGACACTGGCAGGAGAACCCACCTGGATTCTGGAATCTAGACAACATTCAATTGGAGAGAAGAGGGGCAGGGATAGAATAGTGGTAAGGGAAAAGAGAGAAGAGGGTGGAGAAGGTGAAGGCATGCCCTGCTCCCAGGCAGACACACGGCATGAAGCTCCAACCCAGGATGGACTAGGCTAGAATCTTCCCGGTAAGACCGGTTCTCACGGATTATTAGAGATGGGTTGATCGGGATGTGAGAATTAGCCTGTAAGTGCTAGAGCTAAAGGGCCAATAGGTAAAGTACAGGCGGCCACCCAGCCAACAGACCTCAGTTCACTGAAGCAACTGAGAATGGCCTAACCATACCCTTCCCAAAAGGCCTAAAGGTCTCAGCCACGCAGAATGACCTTGGAACTAAATGGGCTCAAAGTTGAGATATTAATAAATTCAGTTTTACTCCTCTAAAAGAAAAGAAAGGGACAGAGAGGAGGAGGAGAGAGAGGGGGGAAGAAGAGAGAGAAAGGGGAAAGAAAGAAATCCAGTCCTATCCTTCCTCGGTGGATAACTGAAAGTAAGCAGTCTTAGGAATAAAACTCCTGGCAAGCAGGAAGTCTAACAGACATCAGGAAATGTGTCTCCTTTTATTATTCTTTCATTTAAAGATTACATTTCTAGAAATCTCCCAGGTGAAAAATAACTGGCTAAACCCCCAACACTCAGCATCACAGACAAGCCTTTGGTCTGTCAGGGATAGGGACAGGCCAGTGGCCCCTTATCAGGTCTCCAGTCCTCCCTAGCTTTTGTTGTGAGTCAAATTATGTAAATACAATGAGGTTTGCACTACCCTCCTGAAGGAAGTTTGATGGAGGAAGGTCATTGGCTAATAAAGGAACTGCCCTGGCCCATTTTATTGGTTAGAGGATAGGTGGGAGGAGTAAACAGAACAGAACGCTGGGAGGAAGAGGAAGTGAGCTCAGAGACTCGACATCTCTCCTCTCCGGAGCAGACGCCTGAGAGAGACGCCATGCCCTGCTCCCAGGCAGACACACGGCATGAAGCTCCAACCCAGGATGGACTAGGCTAGAATCTTCCCGGTAAGACCGGTTCTCACAGATTATTAGAGATGGGTTGATCGGGATGTGAGAATTAGCCTGTAAGTGCTAGAGCTAAAGGGCCAAACAGTGCTTAAAAGAATACAGTGTCTGTGTAATTATTTTGGGGCATAAGCTAGCCGAGCAGGTGGCCGGGGTGCTGGGAACGCAGCCCCGCCACCCATATTACTACAGAAGTTTCCTCAAACTTGGAAAGGCTTTTTCTGACAGTGGCTAAGGTGCTATGGGCATTCAGGAAATTCCTCTGGGGCAGCCTTCCTCCTGCTGGTGGGTACCTCCTGAGAAGCCAGTGTGGAGGCACAGCAAAAAGCCCATGGGAATATTAAGATTTTAAATGTGAGCAACAAAACCAAAGCCACAAAGGCGAGTGATTCCCGCTATTCCCCCACAGGGTGCATCGCACACCGTCAGGGAGCCTCCCTGCTCACTTAGAAGGTTGCCTGCAGCTGCTTCTCACCTGCACTGTGCATTAAACAGACCTGAGCTATGACTTTTCTCTCCCATCTCTTGTGAGTTCTCATGCTTTCACCAGATAAACTCAGGGGAAAGTCAAAACAAGAAACCAAGGTAACACAGACATGTCACAAATGTAATAGTCTAACTAAACACATGCCACATGTATTTAATAAAATAGATAACTGTGAGTTGCTTAGAAGTATGGTTTTCCTCGGTACAGCCATTCTACTGTTTTATTATGACATCATTTAATATGTTCTTCAATATATCAAACCATAGAGGGCCTCTCGAGCTAGTGCAGGATTGATTTATAATTCTGGATTTAATCTCATCTCTTCTTTCTCCTCATCATACTTAAATTTATCTGGTGGGATCATGGTACATGGGATTTATTCATCATTAGCATTTTTATCTTCCAGCAAATTGTCACAGCCAGCCCACTGCTGCTTACTTCTCTTCTGTCAGAATCTCAGGTAATCGGAACCAGTAAAACCCTGAGCTTTGTATGCTACACACAAAGATGTGTAACGTCTTGCATCTTGCGCCATTTCCCCTTACAGATTTATTCTGGTAGTAGTATATTAAAAAGCCTAATATACAATTCTTGTTTTTCATTCTTGTTTTCAGTGTGAAACTCGATCCTTTTTGCTTACAGGACATAAACAATCCACTGTCCGTTACTTCACAGAATAATGACTGCCATCCATGGAAGTCATGGGTCAGGCAGAAGGAATAAACACCTTTTAAACTGCTGACAGCAAGTAAAACAATGTACCTCGAATGGGTTATCAATGTTATTTGACAGTGTTTTAGCTTTTGTTTGTTTTAATGAAAGGTTTGAGTTATGGGCCAGCACAAAGGCTCAGGGGAAAAGCACTCTTCCAACAAGAATGATGACCCGAGCTCAGACCTCAAATACCACAAAGCAAGGAGGGCATCAAAGTGTCCTGAAAACTGTCCTCTGACTTCCACAATTGCACTGTGGTGTGTGTGCACCACCCCACACATATATAGTGAGTAAATAAAAATATAAAGGAATGATATGGCAAAAACAACCTTTGATCAAGTTCTCCAGGCTAACATTCATGGTAAACCATCAACTGGTACAGATTAAACTTAAGAAAAAATCTGAGGGCTGGAGAAATAGCTCTGCAGCTAAGAGCATCGGCTGATCTTCCAGAGGACCCAGGTTCAATCCTCGGCACCCACATGGCAGCTCACACCTGTCTGTAACTTTAGCTCCAAGGTTTCTGGAGCCATCACACAGACATACATGCATGTAAATCATCAGTGAACATAATAAAGCATAAAAACAGGCTTAAAAACTTCCTACTGACTTTCTAGTATGTAAAAGGCGGGAGAATGGCCATCAAGAATGTGTCACCTACTCACCTGCCAGGGCCACGTGCGCAGAAGCAGGCTTTGCTGTCACAGCACCTAGACATTTCTATTAATTTTTACACGATATAGGTTGCATTTGGTTCTTCAGTAGGCTCCTCAAATCATGTCAGTGGCCCCAGGAGCTATGCAGTAAGGCCATAAACGCTCTGATCTATCGTCACTGCTTTAGGAGCGACGCTAATAATCTAATAAGATGGCCGTATTTCAATATTGCAGAAATGTTTGCCAATCTAATTTTCTCTATCAATGAACTAGTTACTCAATATGAGGTGATTGTAGATATCTGTTGATTATCCCTCTCTTATTCTCTCTGTCTTTCTACACAGCTGAAGATTCCCTTGAACTTTCGATCCTCTTGCCTCCTCTCCTGTGTGCTGAGGTTACAGGCTTGCTGTGGCCACAGGCACACACCACCTGGTTTACATGGTGCTGTGCACTGAACCTGGGGCTTTGTGCATGCCAGGCAAGCAGTCTGCCACCTGATCCTAGGATATGCTTCCCTGGTGTGTAAGCCTCTTGCCACTGGCTGGAAAACTCAAAGGCTCTCTGATGACGGAGAATTGAGTCTGCACCTCTAAGGATGGATCCACACAGCGTGTCTGTCAGTCAGGTCTTCAATGCTTTCATCTAACCTTTGGTTTTATTGCTTTAAAGCAGTGTGAGAATGAAAGGTTATTTCTGAAGATCTGCGTGTAGACCCCTAGAGTTTGCTCCCCCATTCTTGCATAGCCCTCTCACCTACTTCAAATTCAATTGATGGAGGAAGGTCATTGGCTAATAAAGAAACTGCCTTGGCCCATTTTATTGGTTAGAACATAGGTGGGTGGAGTAAACAAAACAGAATGCTGGGAGGAAGAGGAAGTGAGCTCAGACTCGACAGCTCTGCTCTCTGGGGAGCAGAGGCCATGTTCCCCTCTCCTGGGCAGATGCCATGAAGCAAGCTGCCGGGTCAGACATGCTGAATCTTTCCCGGTAAGACTGATGCTACACAGATTATTAGAGATGGGTTGATCAGGATATGAGAATTAGCCTGTAAGGGCTAGAGCTAATGGGCCAAGCAGTGTTTAAAAGAATACAGTGTCCGTGTAATTATTTCGGGGCATAAGCCAGCAGGCGGCTGGAGTGCTGGAGACGCAGCCCCGCTGCTCCTAATACAACAGAATTCAATGGCAAAGTATTTTTAGCAAATCATTTTTTGAATAGTACCAAAGTTTTCAATAGTTTATATAGCAATAATCCTCCTGTCTATCAAATTTACCATTTTTTGAAAGCAAATATAATGGTTAGGTCCTAAAGAACAGTGAGGTCAGCTCACACTCACAGCCCTGGGAACACGCATGGGTCATTGCTAGGATGACTGACGTGTCCTGCTGCACCCCGTTTTTACATGTGTGCTGGGGATCTGGACTCGGGTTCTCACGCCTGTGCAAGAAGAGCTTTACCAGCCAAGCCATCTCCCTTGCCCTAAAGCCCGTGTGTTTTCAAAGGCCTACTGCTTTTATGAAAGACTCATGGAACCTCCAGGAATACAAGCAAACTAAGGCCTGTCCTTTGCCTTGGCTTGATTGTCTCCTCCTGGACTCCCTGCTCACATTCCCTTCAAGCTGATTTATAATGAAAGATGTTGGAAACATGTGGGAGAAAGAATCAATGTCACTTCCAGAGACAGCTGGCAGGGGACAGATAGGGCAGGCCAGGCGGCGATGCTCACTGCACGTCCTACTTATGCCTGTGGAGACTCCGGCATACCTGGTTCAGCCTGGCCACTGGCCCTCACTGAGCTAGAGTAGCCCTTCACCTCAGGCCCGTGCTCTCTAATTCTATG